TCACTGTGAGACAGAACCCATAATGATGGCACCTAACATTTTTTAAGAAAAATACAATTTTATTAATTGTGGTGCTGCAGATGAATGTGCTAGACGGCAAGGTCGGTGGTTCAAGCTCACCTGTTGTTCCTAGGAAAACCTATACAGAGTTGCTATTAGTAGGAACCGACTCGATGGCACTTAAGAACAACAGCAATTAATTAATTTGACTCAATTGAGAAATCAGATACAAGGCACTTATAGCAACATAGTCAGCTCTGCTGTTCCTCTGAGTAGCTGCAAATTATTAAGGAAGTAAATTGTTCAGCCAAATTTATAAATCCTAATATACTTCTTTACTGGGAAGGCATCTGAAGGTGCCAGCAATTTCTGAAATAATATATTTCACCCATGTCTGTGATTCTGTGGCCTCTGATTAAACAACAACAACAACACTGTTTTACTTTCTTCAGGCATAGCAAGATGACATCTCCATGTATTATGAGGGAACATTAAGAGGAAATGGCATAGGTGCCATTTATTTGTCACTACTGGAACTCTTCTGCTTCCACTTTCATCTTTGCTCCATTTTCCTGGGTGTAGGTCAGTTGCAAAGGAAACATTTTAGGCCCCAGATTTGCCCCCTATAAGTATTCTCCTATTTGCTGGCTTCTATTTAGACTTTGGCACTGGGGGTTAATGAGCCAGACTGCAAAGCCATTTGAACTGCAAGGTCGGCAGTTCAAGCTCACCAGCTGCTCCTTGAAAACCCTATACAGGGTCGCTATGGGTCAGAATTGACTCGATGACATTTAACAACAATAACAACAACATTTAGACTTTGTTCCCATCCTGCAATGACAAATGAGAGACTCTGCCAGGTAATATCCAACAGTTGGTTACTTTGAATTTTTTCTGAACATACTGGCTAGATACGAAATACAAAGCTGAGTCTGTATTGACCTCTGCTTTGGCTAAAAACACAACCTCTCTAAGAGTTGGTTCTTTATAAACATTTACTATACTCTTCTAAGGCCTGTTATGGTGCTATAGGATAAGCAATGGACTATTAAACACAAAGTTGTTGTTGCTAGGTGCCATCGAGTCAGTTCGGACTCATAGCGACCCTATGCACAACAGAATGAAACACGGCCCGATCCTGGGCCAACCTCACTATCGTTGCCACACTTGAGCCCATTGATGCTGCCATTTTGCCAATCCATCTTACTGGAGGTCTTCTCTTTTTCTCTGACCTTCCACCTTACCAAACATGACATCCTTCTTCAGCAACTGGTCCCTCCTGACTATATGTCCGAAGTACAAGAGGCGAAGTTTGGCCATCTGGTCTCCAAGGAGCACTAAGTCATCAGCTGCTCCTTGGAAACCCATACAGGTCTGCTTTGAGTCGGAACATCTTGACAACACTTAACAACAACATATCTTTTCTAGGTCTAGCTCTCTGCCAATGCACCTTATATGCAACCACCACCCAGTTGTTAGCGGAGGCATATGTGTTGCTATAACTCAGAACAGCTTCCAGCACAGCTCCATTTCAAATCAGATGAGGAAGAAAAGCTTCATGAACTACTTCCAAAAATCAGTCAACGAAAGTCTTATGGATCACAGTGGTCTGACCTGCAATTGATCATGGGAATGGCATAGGACTGGGCAGTATTTCATTCCCTGTGCATGGGTCCTACTCCATGGCAGTTAATGGGATCATTGTGTTATTCCCTTACCAGGGACTATACAGTTATTCCTTACAGGAGCCCTGTGAAACAGAAACTAATATTTGCCATTGGGGGTTGAATAAGAATACAGAGGCATGTAGAAGGAAAGCACACACAGCTCAGGAGAGGTGAAAGCAGGCATTGAACATATGTGATCCACTCCAACACCTGCACTATGGCCTTCCTACCCTGAAGATTCATGTTGAATACAGTATGGTAGATATTGCAACCATCAGAGACAAGCACTGGAGCTAAGTGGGAGGCAGATCTGAAAGGGGAAAGGGTGAGTGTTTTGCAAGGAGGGCTGGAACTGAAAGAGAGATCACAATTTATACTTAGAAACCAGAGGTGATCGCCAAAATATTAGTTGTAAAGAAGCTTTTCCTGCTCTATTTGGTGGTGTACCAAAGCAGAGCATCAATTTAGGAGAACCATTAGAGGTAGGCCTAGAAAGAGAAGGCAGCTCACAGAACTGAGAAAAGGGCAAAACAAACAAACAAACAACAACAACAAAAGCAACAGGGGTTGGTGGGAAGCAGGGAGATGGGGAGCATAAAGAACAAAAGATTCACAGGGAAAAATCAAAGAGGGAGAGGGTTTGCAGGGCCTATTGAATTATGCAATTAGGTCTTCATTATTAATCACAAAAGCTATTATGTTCTTTATGCCAGGCAAAGATCACACACATGATCTCATTTAATCCTCACAACCACCCTTGTAGTATGTGTTATTTATCTACAGAACAGATCCTGGGATTGCTAAGGGCAAAATCCAAACCCACAGTGGGTTGAGAAGTGACTTAGTAGGAAGAATGTAGTCTGCATTTAGGAACAAGGGATTGAGCCCCAACTAAAGGCTAGCATGAGTGTGCATCTGTAATTTTAGCCCTGTTGTTTTTATGTTTTAAATTTCATCCAAATAAATTCTAAAAGGAATGTGTTGTTATTCACCTTCAAAGAAGAAATGGAAATCTGGAGACTCAGTAAGACCTAAGGCCAAGCAGAGGGGACAGACAGACCTTAACTTAGCATTTTCAGGCACCTGGCTAAGCACATTTACAGACATTGTCGCATTTAAGCATCAGAATTCGGGTAACAGAGTGGATTACAAACTGGGTTGCTAACTGTAAGGTCAGCAGTTCAAATCTACTAGTGGCTCTGTGGAAGAAAGATAAGGCCTTCTGCTCCTACAGAGATTTACCTTGGAAACCCTATGGAGGGTCACTATGAGTCAGAACTAATTCCAAGACATTTAACAGCAATAAATATAGTCATTAAGGGCCTGGGTCCAGGAGTCAGATTTCTTGAGTTTGTAGGTCAGCTCAGCCACTTCCTTTGTATCCTTTTACCTCACTTTCTTAATCTGTAAAATGGTGTTTGTTGTAAAGATTTTTAAAAAACTGATACATGTGAAAAATAAAGGAGTGTTCATGGAATGACAAGTGTGGGATAAAATGTCAGCTAGTAAAATCTCCATTTTACAGGCAAGAAAAAAGAAGTAAGTGTTGGAGGAGAATATTAGAAGGACCGTGGATAAACCTGTGTTGGAAGAAGTATAGCCAGAATACTCCTTAGAAGCCAGGATGGTGAGGCTTCCTCATTCATAATTCAGACATATTATCAGGAGGGACCAATTCCTAGAGAAAGACATCATGCTAGGTAAAGTGGAGGGTTCTGCAAAAAAGAGGAAAAACCCAACAAGATGCATTGGCACAGTGGCAGTAGCAATAGGCTCAAACATGACAAAGATTGTGAGAATGGAGCTGGACAGGCAGTGGTTCCTTTTGTTGTTCATAACGTCGCTATGAGTGGGTACTGACTCAATGGTACCTAAGAACAACAAGCGTCTCATAGCTAACAACTGTAAGAGCCTCCTCTGGACTCTAGGGTCTCTGACATAGAAGTCCTTATGTTTCATCACCACTGCACCATCCTGCGAGAAGCCTCTTGAGAGACCATGAGAGAGAAAGGGCGAGAAGGAGATGTGTTTATTGGTGTGTTTGCTTTCTTATTTGTTTCTTGGACAGTAGAAATCTATACATATTTTTATTCCTGACGAAGATGAATAGGGACAAACAAATACTTCAGAAGAGAGGGAAGTGAGATGGGACCATCTCTGAGAGGTAGGAAGAATGGAAACAGTACAGGTGCACTGGTAGGCAGCTTTTGTCAGAAGTTTCAGATAAGACTCTGGAATTCCGAGGGTGGTGGAGGAGGCCAGAGGGCCCAGCAAGAAGAAAAAAAAGCTCTTATTTTCCTTTGGCCAAGTGGCAGCATCCACGGACTCAAGCGTGGCAACGATAGTGAGGTTGGCCCAGGATCCGGCAGTGTTTCATTCTGCTGTGCATAAGATCTCTATGAGTCTGTACCAACTCGATGGCACCTAACAACAACAACAACTTGCTAAACACAGTTTTTGAAGGGATTAAGAACAAATACTCTCCAATCCTTTCTTTCTTTCTGGAAATTCTCCTTTCCCCAGCCACCCTTTCCTCTACTTCTTCTTTCCCTGCCCCTGCTGGTTCCTAGGTTACGTCCCTCTTAGCTTCGCTCCACCTATAGCCTGTCCCAGCTGCCTGCCAAGGCCAGGGGCAGACTGGCTGCAGGCTGTACAGATCAGTCAGAAAACTAGAACGAAGTCTCAGCCACTCTCTCTCGCTCAGCTTCTGCTTCTGAGTCTCTCTCTCCTTTCTCTCTCTCTCTCCTCGCTCGCTCGCGCGCGCGCGCGCGCGTACACACACACACACACACACACACTCACAGACAGACGCACGCACACACAAGCGTACACTCAAAACTCGGACAGGCAGTGCTGTGCGTCTTCCAATCCCTGGAAAAGGCGAGCGAGCGTCTCCCGGACCACTGCGCACACCCTGGCTCAAGCACTGAGCCCTACCCAGTGCTAGTCCTCGTCCCCAGCGTGGCAGCTCCAGCCGGGTGTTCCAGAAAATAAAAGGGGGAGGGAGGGTAAAGAAAGATCCTGAAAACACCCGGGCCACACACGCCGCGACCCTCAGCTCTCTCTCAGCGTCCAAGTGGAGAAGGCGCCTGCACCATCACGCGCCAGCGAGGTCAGCGCCACAGCCGGAAAGAGCCCACCTGCAGGTCAGGGCTCCACCAGCGCCAAAAGTGGGGCTTGTCATTTTTCTGCTCATTTCGTGTCCCGGGTTCCGGAAGCTTATGCCCTAGTTGATTTAGGGTGCAATCCTTGGCTCTGTCGCGGGCCCCAAAACTCTTCCAGAATATCACCCCCGAAACGCGGGGAGTGGACGCGCCGCACCGGGACCTCGCCATGGCAGGGGCGCGCAGGCTGCTCTATCTGTGGCTGGGCTGCTTCTGCGTGAGCCTAGCGCCGGGAGAGAAACTCAAACAGCATTTCCCAGAGCTTCGCGATCCTGTGCCTGGCGACCGCAAGGCAGGTGGTGGCTCCAGTCCGGAGCTGCAGCCGCGCGACAAGGTGTCTGAGCACATGCTGCGGCTCTATGACAGGTATAGCGGCGGCGGAAGGACCCAAGCGGCGCGGATGCTGGGCTCCACGGTACGGAGCTCCCGGTCCCAGCGTCCCCAACCTCTGCCAGAAGGCAATACAGTTCGAAGTTACAGAGCGGGAGCAGCAGGTGAGTGCTGGGGGGACCCCTCTTCTCCCGGTCCCGACCCCGCTGTCTATAGACCCTCCTCAGCGATCTTGTCAGCCCTCCAGTACTGCCTAGGCGCACCTTTTCCCACCTTCAGAAGCTACTCTCCCTAGACCCTAAATCACACCCGCATTGCCTCAGCTGTTTCCCTGGTAAGCCCTGTTTTAGAGTCCATAGTGAGAGGGAGAAATAGAAGTAGGGAACCATGGAAGGAGTTGTTTGGAGTATCTGCTTGGGGAAAGAAAAGAGGCGACACCACCTGCCCAACGGAGCCCCCACCCCACCCCCCATGCCTAGCGGAGCCCTCCTGCCGAGGGGGTCTTGAGCACCCTTTACAGATGATTCTGATGTCGGGTGACCTGAGCTTTAGTCATGATTATCCAGTGCCAGATGCCATTTAATGCCAACCCCTCTGCTCCCAAAGAGAGAAGTTACCCTTGCCCTCCCTGCTTTTAGATAGCTACTTCTCCAGATCTTGGAGCCGCTGTGTGTTACTAGGTTTCTATAAAACATTCTACTTGATGATCCTTTGGTGGGAAACACACAAACAAAACTTGTTGCTTGAGTGTTATTATTTAAAACCTATATAGACAGAGGTTATGCCATTCACCCTAGGAGGATTTGTTAACGGGGGTGGGGTGGATGTAAACATCTCTTGGAATCCCTGATGAAAAGCTGTTCATCTCGTTTTTCAACACAGATCATGGCAGATTTAAATTCATGGCTTAACAAGGTTTCTGCTAGCCTCTATGGTGAAGCTTATAATTTATGTTAACAGCCTCTCTCTCTTGTGCTAACAGCTTAAGGGAAAGTTTCCTGGACATTAACTCTGTTTATATGCTTTGAGGATGCACACTGCTTTTTACTTCTCTACATTCATGATAAAGGGAGGTGTAATTGTAAAGCCTGTCTTCAGTGAAATTTTGAAAAATAGCCAAGAATCTTCAAGTAAGGCACTGACCCTTGCTGCTCTATCAATTTTGTCAGAAACACTAAAAAGAAATCTCCCAAAGCTTTGATATGTAGGATTCCTGGAGGAAAAAAGGAAAACTAAAGCATCCATCAAGGAAAACCCTAGGTTGACACTGTAAATACACTCTAGAGCTCATAGGCATGGTGACATTTACAATAAACGTGAGTTATGGTTTCTAAGGCACAAGTCTGTAGCTAGAGTCTGAGCTAATCCAGATTTCATTTTCTTCTTGAAACCATGATGATGATCTGTGAGGACCCAGTCTCCACTAAGGAAATATAAACCTGCTTTGAGCTAGCTATCCTAGCATCCCAGTCACTTGATGAGGCTGCCTGACAGCTAATCACACCAGCTAATGTTCTGTTTACTTTAATGTAACTTTGAAGGCACAGTGTGGAAGTAAGGATTGGAGGGAAGTTGGATAGGCAAAGCAGGTGGCAAGAGTGAAAAATACTTAAATCACTCTTACCTTAACATTCATTTTCTCAGAAATATTACAAGGTAGTAACTGGGACATCCAAGAAACTAACCGTTTTTTTGTTTTGTTTTTGTTTTCTGTATCAACAAGTTTTATTTTTAGTATGAATCACGTGGTTTGGAGGTAGAATTTGAGCTTTCTTTTATCCACTGCATTGTATAAATGTTTTTTTTGGGGGCTGAGTGAACTATAAGTGAGAGGTTGATAAGGATGTGAATAACTTAGGTATCATATCCTATTGGCTTCAACTCATTCACTGCCTTAAAATTTCAGTGTCCCTATCAGCCTCACTGTATAGTCTTTTGCCATCTAATGATAAACTCTGATGTGGAGGGGGAAAGTGCCCTTGAAATGATGAATTTCAGCTGAGAAGTATGTATAAGGCTGTATGCCCTAATAAGAAAAGTGTAATCCTAAAGACTATTCTGATTGGCAAACAGCAAAACAAATAGTAAGATATGTTCCAAAGTCCCATTATATTACTCTCTGTGTTTTACAAAGACTTAATGACTTATTCATCAACCATAGACTCTGGTTTTTGTGGAAGCTTAAGTGTCGCGTTACCACATTGGAGACTCCTGGAGAGGTGGTTCGTGTTGGACCCCTTCCAAGAGTGTTTAGTTACTAATACACTAAAAAGACCTTATTATAAGGAAGTTCTGGCTCTAATAAGGCAGGTCTCCAGGAAGGTGCTTAAGCTTTCATGTTAGTCTCTCTAGCTTCACCCATATCAGCATTTCCATAACACCCTTCACCTTATGACATATGTTTTGATGTAGGTGAAAAATGCTGTCTTCATTAATAAATGAATAAATGTTTTCTAGCTCTAAGTGTTTAGGTTCACAACATATGGGCTTTTTGGTACCAAAGATGTTACAGATTATAATGGCAGGTCTAGTGGTGTGCTTTAGATCCGGGTGACTGCTGATCCGGCAGACTTCCGGAGTGTTTATCCAGACTGAGATATAGCCTTACAGCCCCATTTGCTCCTTAGAACATACCTGATTAAAATTATTTATTATTCTAACCTAGAATATCTTTGGTTGAAATTTAGCTGCTGTGGTCTCCCTCTGATTACTTTCTACTTAAACCATTACTTGATGGTGGGTGGCATTCATCCTAAATACACTTTTTGCTAACCCCTTTTCTCCTCCCTCAACGCTACTCAGTTGGTGTGCCAAAACCATAAGTTTGGAATACTTATATGTTTTTATGTGTATATGTGTGTGTGATGTGTATGGCTCACATAAAGATAGGTTTTAGCTTTCCCTTTGTAAAAGATAATTTACAAAAATATTGATGACAGAGTATTCCAGTTTTATAAAAACACTACATCTTGGAGGAAAACAGAATGGATATAAAATCAGCATTTATTTTAATCTTGGTTTATGAAGTTATTTTTGGCTATGTGATTTAGTAAAAGAATAATAGTTTGCATAGGTTGTCTCCTATCCTGATCCTTTAAGATACACGAGTTATGTTATTACATTTTCATCATTACCATGCTCACTTATATTTTCTTAATCATAAAATGCACCTCTTTAGGAAAAGGGATAAAAATAAGTGTGTTCTTATAAGGAAATGATCACTATTTTTATCTATGACATATAACTACCGAAAGACTACATTTAAGTACCAATGCATTGGCTTAAAAAATCACACAGACTTCATAGATAAAAGGAAAGAAAATGAAGTAATCCAAACTATTTTCTTACAATACAGAAAGGTAGATTCTCTCCTATCATGACTGGAAGGGGGGAAAAATTATGATTTGACATGTTTATAAAGTACAAGGCTTATATATAAGGCTTTGGGAAAGATAATATGCAATTAAGTTCTGAAAGATCAGCCAATAGGAACCATGGGTCAGTGGACAATCATCATTTTTTATGAGTTTGTGGGTAAGGGGATATAATAGCTTTATGAAGACAGAATCACCTTGAAATGCTTGGCATCTATAAACTAGGTTTGAAACGAAAGAGTACGTGGATTATCTGCTGGGTTTGTTGTTGTTGTTTAAAGGGCAAGAGTACATCTGGAGAGGGAGCGCTGGATGAGCAGCTGCATTGAATTATACACCACTTTGAATACAAGATAGCCCTTAATGAAGTTTTTACTATAATAGGCAAGACAACTTTATAATCTCTGACATTTAAAAATTCATAATGCCATGGATTCTTGATTATTCATGCTAATGGAATGGAGAAAGAGAATAAATTATATTTAAAAAATAATTGAAATGTATCTTTGTTGTATAGTTAGACATACTCAGACCAAGAGATCATTGGGGTCAATGAAAAAACAAACAAACCCCTAAGCAGATATTTCACTTAGGGAATATGTGTACCTATAATATAATTAAGAATAGTTTAAAGACTTATATACATTGTATCTAGGCAATGGAGTTCCATAAAGCACTTGATTGACTGGGTTCAGAAAATTAAATAGAGACATGAATGTCAAAACTGCTTTTAAGCATTTTAGAATTGTAGGGGTTTTGTTTTGTTTTTGTTGTTGTATTTTGAGATGCTTTAAACAAAGCAAGCCCAACCCCTTCCTTTCATGGAAAGAGAAATGGACATCATAATGTATTATTCAGACAATTTTTCAAACATACTGAGAGCTCATGTCTAAACATATTACAGTTGACCCTTGAACAACATAGGTTTGAACTCCTTGGATCAACTTATATGTGGATTTAAAAAAAAAAAAAAAATTCCTGTGTGATGCTCATCACCTCCCTGTGAGCAGTTTGTCTCTCCAGTAAATTGCATTTCACAGCTTAAAAAGTGGTCTCTTGTGGTTCTCGCTTATTTTTCATCATGTGTAGTGCAATACCACAAACCTTGAGTAACACCATGGGACCAGTACAAAGTGCCACTATTGAGACTGGAAGTGCTGCCAAGAAGCAGAGAAAAGTCACGGGACTACAGAAAAGATTAAAATGTTTGATATGTACTATAGATTGAGGTCTCCAACTGCGATTGCTTGCCATTTCAAGATCAATGAATTCAGCATCCCAAGTAAGGACCACTATGAAAAAAGAAAAGGAAATTTGAGCAGCTCTTATTGCCACAATACCAATAGGCAAGAAAACTATATACGCTGTGTGAAATGTGTTTTTTCATAGAAAATTCAGCTTTTCTGTGGGTGCAGTATGCAATACATATAGCACACAAATGAAGTGTTTGTTAGTGTGGTGCTGTGGGATAATGCGTTAGACTGCAAGGTCGGTTTAAACTGCAAGGTCTGTGGTTCAAGCTCACCAGCCACTCCTTAGAAACCTTATACAGGGTTGCTATGAGTTGGAACTGACTCGATGGCAGTTAACAACAACATTAATGTTATTAGTAAGGCTTCCAGTCTATTGTTGTTGTTATTAAGTGCTGTCCAGTTGGTTCCAACTCATAACAACCTTGGACAGGGTTTCCAAGGAACAGCTGTTGGGTTTGAACTGCTGACCTTATGGTCAAGCACTACAGTGCCACACCAAGACTCCAGTCTATAATAGGCTATTAATAGTTAAGTTTT